AGAAAGAAATAAAGGCAGAGAAAGGAGGAGAACCTAGCAAGAAGTGAAAAAAGCGAGAAGGACGGAGGCCCCTTCCAGCTGCACGGTGACTCCCCAGCGCAGGTCCACGAGACGTCTTGGAGCCCTCGGGCAGACGGAGGCTACAAACATCTGCAAGAATGCAGGGTCATCTGATGGGATTCCGAGAACGAGCCTCATCAGAGAGTGGTGACGTGAGAAGGGCCTTTGGTCCTTAACCTCTCCACACTGGACCAGAACCTTTCTCGTCAGCTGAGCCTGAAATCTGCTCACCCAACAGATGACAATGACGTGCGGTCCACACCCCAACCCGCTTCTTCCCACGCGTTTACCCTGTCACCCTCTATCTGCTCCAAACAACGACCTGCCTGCTCCCCACTTACCTACCTACCTCCTCAATGGCAGCAGACAAGTCTGAAAGCAGGGGTCCCAAGAACAGAGAGAGCTATGGAGAAGAGGTGAAGTGCTAGGAGAAGGCAGCAGAGACTTGGGGAAAGGAGAAAGGCCAAAGAGGTCTCTGAAGAAGATGGTGGCCCAGGCAGGGAGCTCCAGGAGAAGGCAGCAGGAGCCTCAGGGAAATGGTAGAGAGCTATGGGGGTGGCTCCATTCCATTTTCTCCCCCAATTTAGCCATGGTTGAGAGAAAAAGCTTGCTGAGCCACTTCTATCACAGGTATGCACAAGTGGGTAAACAGGGTCTGGGAAAAGCTGGAGAAAGGATGGGTTACTGGCCTCTCCTTTCCTCACCTTTCCCCCTGCCCCTCCCCACCCTGGGGTCAACGAAGGCCAAAGCAGTGGGGATCCAGCCCCTCTGCATGGATACTTCTCTCCTTGTCTAGAGGAGTGGAGACCTGTCCCCTTCCTCCAGGCCCTAAAGGAAGCCTGACAAGGCATGGGAAGTGGCAACAGTATCATCATCAATACTTAAAAAAAACCCAAAAATTTGTAAAGAGCCATCACCCAAAGAGATAATTATTTACAGAAATCTTTCAAGTGCCAGCTACCTTATGATATTACGCCTATGGGGTAGCAGTATGCTGCATAGAGATTTCTTGAGCGGATTGATTGTCTGGAAAGGCCACTGATTAACTTCCCTGGAAAGCAACGTCCTCATTTGCCTCCAGCAGGGAGAGTGGTATCACAGCCCCCTCTATATGGCCTCTGACCAGAGAGGCCTGCTCACTGCTGCTGGTGATTAATGATCTTCTAATAAACTTAGAACTTAAACGAAAGGAAGAGGAAAACACGGCTGTTTCATTCATTTACTACACGATCTACAATGGGAAACATCTTTTTAAAAAGCTGAACTGGCAAAATGTGGGAATTTATTTGCAAGACTCCTTTAACCCAAAGCCCTAAAACACCATTACTTACAATCATCACCCACAGGTCCTGCTGAGCACTGGGCGGGAGGGTCCCTCTGCAAGTCAGTTAATTCCTAGGAACAGGAGAGAGTGATTTCAGAGTTGGCTGCACTTTCTTGCTCACTGGGAGTCCATGACCACACACACACACACACACACACACCCCTCCCAAGCACTGATTCTCTCACTTGGCAAGTTATTCGTCCTGGTGAAGAGATCAGACCCAAATTCTCAAGAACAGAGAACAGTTGTGCTGATGGCCTACAGAGATAAATAAGGAAACGTCTTCCCCAACAGACTCTGAGTTTCCCATCATGGCCGCCATCATCACCTTTTCAAATATTCCACTGTGCACTCTATCAATGGCCAGCAGTGGTAACAATGGCACAGAGGAAGATGCCTCCCCTGGGCAATGACTCCTTCGGCCTTATGAGTTACAGTGAGTCCACAAGCATTTATTAAGGCCCCACCATGTGCCTGGCAGTATGGTAAGGAAAGGCAAAAACAGTCCTTGTGCTCAAGAAGACTCAGTCTACTAGGGGCAGGCAGGGTGAGCAACTGAAAACTGCTGTGAACGAGCAGATCAATATGGGATAACCTGAAGAGAATCTCAGGGGAAAGTACCAGCATTTAGAGAGACCAGGACATGCCTGTTGTTGGGGGATGGGGTGTTTTGTGCTAGTAACAGCCAGGAGGTCAAATATATGGAGGGAGTAAGGTATGATATGGGAAGATGGGAAGAGCTCAGGTGTAATTGGATGGCTTTGAAAGCCAAAAGGAGGAATTTATATTTGATCCTGGTGGCAGGAGAGAGCCGCTGGGGCCTATGGACTGGTGTATATGTGTGTACGTGTGTGTGTGAGAGAGAGAGAGACAGAGAAAGACAGCAAAAGACAGCGAGACAGAGAGATGTGGTCAGACCTGTGGCTTAGGAAGATCACCTTGACAGCTGAATGGAGAAAAGGCCTGCAACGGGACCCTTGAGGCAGGCAGACTAACCACACCCAAGCAACATACCGACATACTCCACAGGAAGCAAAGACAACATCAGACAGTGGGTGGCAGGTGAAACAGGACAAAGGTTAGTTTCAGAATGCCCCGCATCCATGCCCCATCCCCCAAGGAAGGCTGCAGGACAGGAAAGAGGGGCCCAGCATACACCCCGAGTCTTAAATTACCCTTAACCTGTCCTCCCCATGGCTTCCAACTGTCCTACTCCCAAGTCCTAAAATCGGAACTTCCTCGAGTTGGCCTGGCTATCCTGAGGCAGGACAGTGCAGCTCAGCTGTCCACACTACAAGCGTGGCTGGCTACCTCCCTGGGAGATGATCCATCTTAACTCGGAGGGATGTGACAATTCCAACAGAAGGGTGAGCGGCCCTTTAAAGACCAGCCCCGGCCAACGCCGTTCTCCCTCCTTTGCCATGACACTTTTTGGTCCCTGTGGTCATTCGATCATCCCCTCATTGCCCCCAGGCTTCACCAAAACCACTTTTCTGGTAATTTGGCATGGAGGCATCTATCTCTACACAACTATAAAGGATTAAGTAGTGAATACATAGCGTGTCAGCTCCCAATCAGATGCACTAACAGAATGGAAAAGAAGCCTTGTGAGAGGGACAGAACCCTGATAAAGCTCCAGGACATCTGGGTTCTAGTTCTGACTCTCTCAGTAGCTACGTGAAGGGAGGGCTAGTCATCTCCCCTTGCTTGGTTTTCACTGCCTCATCTGTAAGATGAATCGGGTCCACTGCCCCCGATTATCTCTAAAGTTCCTCCCTGCTCTAACATTTGAAGACTCTGGAGAATCCAAGTTAGTGGAAGAATTTAAACACAACACCCTCAGCACCACAGTTAATTCTGATTATTTGTAGCTTATTCCAGCAAAATCCGAATTGCTTTTGGTTAATCCTTTTTGTTTGACACAAATATATTCAAGTAGAACACACAGGACTTCACTACTTCAGCAGGGACTTCTAAGTTCCCTGCCATTCTGGGTCATCCCACACTAGCACAACTGAGGATAACTACTCCTTGGATGGGGAAGGAAATCAACTCAATTCTAAAACCATTTGCCAGGCACTTAGTAAAACCCAAGCCTGGGCTTAGACACACTGATTCTACAGTGGGCCCCAAGCTCAGTGTCAGCTGCCTAGGACCCAGGCAGGGGAGGTGAGGGAAACAAAGTCACAGACAAGACGCCAAAAAGATAACCCACTTGTGGATGAGGGAGCTATCACTGTTCAGGTTTCCCTCACTTGTGTTTATCTATGACACTGGTCCTCAGTTTCATAACTCCCATCGTATTTATTATCTCCGTGAATCAAATCAGCACCTGAGTCTAATATCTTAATATAAAAGCTACAGACAGCTTGAGCATTTATCAGCTGGACATCCCTGAGTGACACAAAATATGTCAGGGACAATCACTGAACCTGAATTACTGCCCCCACCAGGTAACAACCCTGTTAGTTGTTAGCTAACACTTGTCAAGGACAGTCAAGAGTTTTCTGCTTAAATGGAGGCCACCTTAGTTTACTGCAGACATCATCGCTGCCTCTCCATAACAGATTATTTCACCCTGCAGAGGAGTGAACTGTCCTATTTTTCCTGACCTGACATAACCCATCCTCAGTAATGGCACAGAATAAGAGTTTTGTGGTTGCTGTGATCCTGTGTGTCTCAGTTCCCTCATTTGTCAAATAAGCTAGAGAAGGAAATGGCAAACCACTCCAGTACCTTTGCCAGGAAAACCCCAAACAGGGTCACAAAGTCAGGTACGACTGAAATGACTGAACAACAGCCCCCCCACCACCACCACCACCAATGCCTCACTATTCCACAAACATGGGATGGGCTGTATTCTAGGCGGCCTAATGAAGGAGGGCCTAAGCAGAAGGACCACTCCACTCTTCTCCTTTCCACCACAGTGTAAAACATAAAAGAAAAATTAGAGCCTAAGACTGGATCTGCCTTCCTGAAGACAGAAAGGCTAAGCAAAAAAGGAAGATGAAGCTGAAATGTCCTGGGTTCAGGAGAAGACTTTCCTGTTTGGGGAGGGGTTAAATTAGATCCTCTCTGAGATAAATTCCAGCATAACCATGGGGGAATAGCAAAGTGGAAAGAGTGCTGGACTTAAGAGTCAGAGGATATGGGTTTAAATCCTGGCTGTACCACTTACTACCTATATGTTACCATCTCTGGGCCTCAGTTTCCCTACCTGTAAAAAAGTCCTTCCAAATCCAGACCTAACATACTGTCACTTTCCTCAAATCTCCTTAACTGGGGAACTTTGCTGCTTCTCCTGGTACTAGGCCTGTCTGAACAACAACTCACTAGAGGAGGATAATTAGGGAAATTTGGAAGCCTTGGGAGGTACTGAGCTCCTCCACTGAAAGTGTTTCTAATACATAATGGCTGTGTGACTGTATCGCTTTCTTAACCAAGACACTTGTGTCTCTGCCCACATGGCTTCGTTGAACCTCAGTTTCTTCATCAGCAAAATGGGAATAACCCACTCTCTCTCTCCTTCATCTCTGTTTCCAACCTCTCTGGCTTGCTTCAGTTCCCAGAAAAAATCCCATCTTCAGCTTCCCTCTCTTCATCCTCATTTACTCTTGGGCTTCAAGTATCACGCAGCAGAAAAAGCAGTGGATTCGAAAGCAGAAATCCTCAGTTTGAGACCCAGGGCTTCCATGGATCATTTCAATTAGGTAAAAGCTTTTACACAAACAAATCTAATAACGCTAAGATTGAATTAATAATTAACTGGGAAAACATTTTTGCAGCAAGTTTTTCTAAAGTCTAATTTCCAAGATAGATAAAGAACTGATTCAACTTTGTAAGAAAAAGAGCCATTCCCCAACTGACAAATGGTTCAAGGATATGAACATACAGTCCTTAAGGGAAGAAACTCAGGGTATCTACAGCCATATGAAAAAAATATTCCAAATCATTACTAGTGAAATGTAAATAACACTTCTGAGATTCCAGCTTACACTCGTCAGAGGGGCAAAGATGGCAAAAAAAGGAAATGAAAAATGTAGGAACGGCTATAGGAAAACTGACGTAATGGGTACAACCGTTGTGGAAAGCAATTTTGAATTATACACAAAAGGTTACTGAACAGTGAGTAAGACAGGAACAGGATCTTTATTTGCAAAACTATTTATAGCAGCAAAAAAACCCAAAAAATTGGAAACTAAGAGGCTGTCCAGCAATGGAGGGATAACCAAATAAGTTGTGGTATGTGAATGTGATCAAACATCATGATGTTATAAAAAATGAGGAACAGATGATTGCAAAAAGACTTGGAAAGACTTAGACAAACTAATGCAGAGGGAAGTGAAGAGGAACAGTATAATTTATACCATAACATCAGTATCACAAAAACAAACAATTTTAAAGACTTTTATAAACTGATGAAGAACGAAGTAAGCAGAACCGGGAGAATATGTACAATAACAATAACAACGTAAAGACAAGCAACTTTGAAAGCTGTAAGGACCATCCATCATCAATACAATGACCATACATGATTCCAGAAGACCAAAGACAAAAACATGTTTCTGGGAACAGCCACTGAAGGAATTCGTCTTATTTGACTATGCATACGTGTCACAAGGCAACCCCTCTCTCACAAGGGGCAGGGAAGAAGGAAAAACAGATTTGTTTACTTTTTTAAAAAACAGCGTTTTGGGAATGGGATGGTATAGATGTGAAACATTGCATGGGCTTTCAGATGAGGTTCCTGAATTATTAGTTTTACTTAACTATTGATTTCTACTGCAAGAGACTCCTCATAAAGTGGGATTAATAATCTAAAAATGTCTGTAATGTAAAAACAAAACACATCAATAAAACTCCAAGTGGCGAAAAGAATATCAGATTTAAAATGAAGTTGGAGGGGAAGAGAGGAATGTCAGCCTATATACAAAGACAGCTTTCTAACCAGAGCATCATAATCTCCAGCAAAATTCCCACTCCACTCAGCACGTGAATAGTAGCTGTCAAGATTAATCCAGCAGAGTAAAATTCTAATAAATGTTTATTAAGTGCCTACTCTATGCTAGGC